CCCTGTCGCACACCTTTCCCAATTTTAAAAGATTCAGTGTTCCCACGCTCTGTTCAAACAACTGCTTCTTGGTCCAGGTACAGATATCTCAGAAGTGTAGTGGTTATGAATCAGTCTGCGAACCTTAAGGTCAGCAATTCGAAACTACTAGCTGCTCCATGGGAGAAAGATGAGGCTTTCTGCTCCCGTAAAGATTTACAGCCTCGGAAACCCTGTACAGGGTCGCCATGGGTCAGAACTGACCTGACAGCACTTAACAACAACAACAGGTAGTTCCCAGCTTACAAGTTTGATGAACTACACTTAAGAACATCCTTGTATCGGATACACTTTATTGTCAGTACTATGTCCTGGTGTTACACTGTAGGATAGGACTGGACTCCATGGCACCTAACAACATGTATTACATCTGATGTTGCAACACATAATATGCTGATATTACCATTCTCAGATGTAGTATTTCTAACCCCCAAAGACAACAGATTTATACAGGTACTGATAACAAAATGCATTAATAATAAAAACTTTACACCTTACGTCCAAATGGACTTAGAATGGAGTAGTTGGCAGAATGAAAACCCATCGTAAGTTGGGGACTACTAGCACTTCTTTTGCAAAGCTTTAATGGCTCCCAACCACCGTTAGCATATTTATTTCAAGTGGAACACAAACTGTTGTTAAGTACTTAAGTGCTATTGAGTCGGTTCTGACTCATAGAAACCCTGTACAGGGCTTCAAGGAGTGACTTGTGGGTCTGAAGTACCAACCTTGTGGTTAGCAGTCCAGTGCTTATCCTACAGTGCCACACCAGAACCACCTACTATTTCCTGGGTCTAGAATGAGCCCCTTCTTCTTGGATATTGTTGTTGTTGTTAAGTGCCGTCAAGTCGGTTCCGACCCATAGCGACCCTGTACAGGGTTTCCAAGGTTGTAAATCTTTATGGGAGCAGAAAGCCTCATCTTTCTCCCACAGAGCAGCTGATAGTTTCGAACTGCTGATCTTAAGATTTGCAGCCCAATTTGTAACCACTTCGCTACCAGAGCTTTATTTTGTAAAACAGAAGTAGCTCAAGAATTATACACACTCTGACCACATCTCAAGCCTATGCTGTTACATCCTAAATTTCTTAGTATTAAAAATGAAAAAGTAAGAAACAGAAAACAATCCAAACATAGGAAATAAGTATCAGTATATAAGACACTACTTTATTAGGATTCTTTTCTTCAATTATCTGACAGATTTGAAATTTTGAAAAATCACATTTTTTATTTTTTTCAAAAAAGACTTATAGGCAAAAAGAAAAAAAAGGCAGGCTTATAGGCAAGCACTATGGTCAATAAGGAGTTCTAGTGTGGCCCTGTGGATTAATGCACTGAATTGCAAAGTCGGTTTGGACTGAAAGGTCAGAGGTTCAAGCTCACCAGCCGCTCCTCGGAAACTCAATACAGGGTCTTTTGGGTCAGAATCAACTCTACGGCACTTAACAACATCAAAAAATGTCCAAAAAAAGATATTACTAGAAAATCTGAAAAAAAGACTTATCTTACTAAATTTTTCCTAATTTACAAATTAACCAGTCATGCCTTCCACAGGACATTTGCAATTAGAACACGTTTTAAATTCTATTATATTAGGTTCTTGAATAGCCTTATAAATAGTTTAGAATGTGTATTTTTCAGGTAATACACTTAAGACACTGTTGTTGTTATAGGCCGTGGAGTCAGTTCCAACTCATAGGGACCCTGTACGGGGTTTCCGAGGCTATAAATCTTGATGGGAGCAGAAAGCCTCATCCTTGTCCCACGGAACAGCTGGTAGTTTCAAACTGCTGACCATGAGGTTAGCAGCCCGATTCATAACCACTACGCTACCAGAGCTCCTTTAACACACTGGGAGCACATTAATTAAAAAAAACAATGTATAAATGGAAAGAAAACTTCCTATTCTTATGGTAAGGCTTTGCCTTAGAGTTGACTTGTTATTTTTAAGTGCCATAGAGTAGGTCCTGACCTACCAGCAATTGTGTATAGGGTTTCCAAAAAGCCACTAGTGAGTTTGAACCACCGACCTTGTGGTTCAAACCAACTTTGCAGTCCAGTGCTTATCCTACAGCATCACATCAGGACTCAATTTGGGGTTGACTTAGCACTCAGGAAAACACAGGATATGCACTGGACTGTGAACCACTAGATCAATGGTTCGATCCCACCAGCCACTCCTCAGGAGAAAGATGAGGCTTTCTGCTCCCACAAAGAATTAAAAGCCTTGGAAACCCTATACAGGGTCACTATTTACCAACTGGACAGCATTTAACAACAAAAAAAGTATCAATCTGGTGTTACTATTTAATTGTAAGTGAAAGTTTAATAAAAAAAAAAAAAAACTATTTCTTGGCTTTATTATCAAGGCTTATTTCTTTAAAAAATCATTATTAGTAGGCTAATTAGTCCAATTTTGTTTTAAATATGTGACACCGCTCAAGATCATTTCCCCAATCCTAAAGTAGGCCTCAAGCATACTACAAGTGCCAGTGGCTAAGGACTCAAGGACTTTTTGTTCCAAATTCTTTTTGAGCATCTAATATCAACAAAATTAAAAACCAGAGACAGTCACACAAAGACTAGGCACACTACTAAACATCTCTTAAACAGTGTTCCAGTAAGAAAAAAACAAGCTTTATCAAAAATCCCCAAATTAGGAATGGGTTCAATCTCGAAAGTTTGTAAGATACCTGTTTGGAACGCTGAATATACTTTCCTTTAGAAAAAGTGTAATAAATAGCAATTAACTCCCAAGCCAAGCCACAAAAACCTATATTATTGCTATTGTTACGGGCTACCAACTTGTAGCAACTCTGCATAGGGTTTCCAAATAGTAGCTGGTGAGTTTGAACGTCCAAACCAACCTTCGGTCCAGTGCTTTATCCTACAGCATTATACCAGGACTCTTATTAGTATAGCTATAGGAAAGTCCAGTATTTGTGAGTTTTAAAGACTATGAACAGTACACAGTATACACTGGTGTTGAAATTTCAAATTAAGACTTGAGATTTTCTAAAGGAAAGCATTTCTCTTCCAACAGACTAATTCGTTAAAACAGCCTACTTCTTTAAAGTAGCAGTGATTGTGAGGTTGGCACAGGACAGGGCAGTGTTTCATTCTGTTGTACACAGGGTCAGTATGAGTTGGTACTGACTTGATGGCACCTAACAACAACTTCTTCAAAATTATTAAAAGGTTCTTTTAATAGGCTTGTTATAATTCCAAAAACAGCACATCTGTTTCTATAGTTGGATTAACATTTGCTTGTTTTTATTCAAGAAATACTATATAGGAATTTGTATATAAAACAGAAACAATAAATAATAAAATTGCTTTCACAAATATATTATTCAAGTATCTTGATTTCAGAATTCAGAAAAAAAAAAAACTCAACAGTTTTTTGTTGTTGTTGTTGTTGTTATTTAAGATCATTAAGATGGCACTGTAAGGAAAAGCAAAAAACAACAGTGACCAAACATTGAAATTTTCAATTCAGAAAACACTTGGGGAATTTAATTTGTACATCTTAACTGAAGCTTTTCTAATAATACCATTTTTGCTCTCATGATGTTCTCATAGGTATTTTATTAAACAACCCTGTAGCCCTATTTCACAGCTGAAAGAAAAACTGAAGCACAAAGAGGTTAAGTAAGATGCTTTGCCAAAACTTAAATTCAGATGGTATCTGTTTGTCCAAGTTCAAATTTCCCACTATGCGCAGCACAGATCTTAACAGTCTTTTAATATGCTTACTGTGGTCTTCAATGTACTAAAATTAACTGGCCATGGAAAGTTATTAATACTTCATGAGTCTGGTACAGAGTTAAACTATTTGCACATGACAAGGGGGAAAGCTGTTTCCAAATGAGCGACACACAACTGACAATGTGGAACATAGATTTCACCACGAAGATGGATATTAACTTTTAGGTAACCAAGGCATCAGCTTTTCAATTCTCGTCTGGCCAAGCTTTGAGTTTGGAAAAAGGGTATGTATATAAGACATCTGTACAATACACCTGAATCGGCTCACTCCCCGAAAGACACCTCTTAATCTGGAGGCCAGGAGGGCAGAGAAAAATCACAGCTCCTCAGCCCTCTAGGAAAATCATTTTTAAAAACGCTTGTGGAACTCCCACAAACTCGCAAAGCTGGGAGGTGAGGGACGAAAGAAAATCAGCACGGGCGACAGGGGGACAAGGACTGGGTCGATCAGGACCAAGAGTGCTCACCGCGTCTTCTGACGTCGCCCAAAGCTTACCTCCTTGACAGGTGGGAATTTCTTCTTGCACTCCAGTGACAAGGCCCGCAAGTCGCTCTGCATATTCTCCAAGAGCTTCTTCACTGCCTCGGGGCTGTTGGTGCCTGACATGATCCCCCGAACTCCGAGCCAATGCCTGAGTAAGCAAACGAGCTCTTGGGGCAACGAGCAATTCCTTCCAGGCGACTTCGGTCCGTCCCCAGCTCGCCTCTTGGGCTCCGCCGGGCCTGGGCTGCGAACCTGGAGCGCGCCCGAGCGCCCCCCGCAGCCTCGTCGCAACTCCTTGGCGTCCTCTCCTAGGCGGCCCCCGTAGTCGCTCCGTCTCGCTAGTCTCTGCCGGCTCTGGCTGAGGAGCCCCCAAGGCGAACGACTCCCTCCCGCTACCGCGGGGTCCGGCTACACCGGACGTCACCAGCCAACCTGGCAAGATGCTTCAGTGCCGGTTCCCGGCGCCCCCAAGGTTCGCAGGCGCCATTAGCCGAGTGGCCCACAATTCCGAGCGCGGCTGGGACACGTCAACCGCACTTCCGGGCAACGCGGCCGCCGCCCCCGCCTTGGCCAACCCAGGCGGCGAACCACGAGGGGGCGGAGCCGTGTTCGGGGCCGACCGGGTTCCGGGTCGGGAGTGCGTTTCTTTGGCCCTTCCCTATCATAGTTGTGGGCGAAGCTCCTTTCCTTTTCGTTGACAACTGACCCGAGTCCACGACTTCTCATTGGCGTATCTCTGAAATTTGTGTTAAATTGTATTTTGGTGTAAACAGTTTGAGTCCTTTGGGATCTATCTTAGTTCTCTTTTTCGTCTTCATTTTTGCCTCCTCAAATCCTTGAACTAGTGGCCATCCACTTCCTGTTATTTATTTTTTTCTAAATTGAAATCCTTCCATAAAGTTGTTCAAAGTAGCTACTGATGAGTAGTCATTTATTTTCCTATCTGTAAAATGGGGAATAAAAACTTATCTGTTTTCCAAACTCTCATCTTAGAACCCATATCATCCAAAGTGATGGTGGTGATTGATTGTGTGCTGTGAAATCTGTGTCTATTCAAAGCGAGACTGTAAATCTTTACTGGAGTAAAAATCCTCATCTTTATCCCTCAGAGCGGCTGGTAGATTTGAACTGCTGACCTTACGGCTAACAGCCCAACTCTAAACCACTACGCTAGCCTACTCATAACGACCTTAAAGGGTTTCCGAGGCTTTTTAAAATTTTTATTTTATTTTTTTCCAGGAGAGCATAAAGCAGGCTCCAACTTCAGACCTTGTGGTTTGCAGTCCAGTCTTTTGGAGCCACCGCACCCCCTGAAAGAGCTCCTTCTGAAAACCAAAATTCTGCCCCACCCCACCCCACCATAAACCTGTCTCACCCACTTCAAGTTCCAGAAGACCTGGGCTTGTTTTCAGTTATATTCCCCTCCCTCCCCATCCTCTAGAGGCTGGCACACAGTAGGCGATCAATAAATATTTGTTGAATAAATGCCATACTAAAAAAACCAGAGTTTTGTTGTTCAAATAAAGGACATAAAAATAAAAGCCTTCATAAAGTTTGAAGTGCCAAATAAATGTGAGGCGACAACTAAACAGAAAAATCTGTTGCTGTACTTTTGTCTAAGACATATCGCCAACTACTGAGTAGGAAGAAGAGAAAGGTTAAGTCTGATTCAGGGTAGAGGTAGAAGCTGAAGAAACCAACACCTCCATACAAGAAGTGCTTGATGGTACAATTATAGGCAGTAAGATAGTTTGAATCTGCATTTGGAAAGCAGTGTTTGTAAAATGACAAGATGTTGCAACACAAATACTTTGTAAAAACAAAACCAAAACAATATATATACATATATATATATGGAGCTCTGGTAGCATAATGGTTACAAATCGGGCTGTTAACCTCAAGGTCAGCAGTTCAAAACTACCAGCTGTTCTGCGGGAGAAAGAGGAGGCTTTCTGCTCCCGTAAAGATTTACAGTCTTGGAAACACTGTACCGGTGGCTGAGTCGGAACTGACTCCACGGCACACAACAACAACAACCTATAGGCAAAGCGTAGTGGTTACGAATCGGGCTGCAAACCTTAAGGTCAGCAGTTCGAAACTACCAGCCGCTTCGCAGGAGAAAGATGAGGCTTTCTGCTCCCATCAGGATTTACAGCCTCGGAAACCCTGTACAGGGTTGCTATGGGTCAGAACCGACTCAACGGCACTTAACAACAACAACATAGGCAAAGCAAGGATGGATAAAGGTGGTGATGAGGTTGTTGCTGTTAAGTGCCTTCCAGTCAGTTCCGACTCATAGTAACCCTGTATAGGGTTTCCAAGGAGCAGTTGCTGGATTTGAACTGTCAATCAACACCATACCAGGAGTCCTATGGAACTGCTAGAATGCCAGTTTGGATTATTTGTACCTCTCTGGTAGCGTAGTGGTTACGAATCGGGCTGCGAACCACGAGGTCAGCAGTTCGAAACTACCAGCTGTTCCGCAGGAAAAAGATGAGGCTTTCTGCTCCCATAAAGATTTACAGCCTCGGAAACCCTGTACAGGGTCACTATGAGTTGGAACCAACTCCACGACACATAACAACAATAACATTATATAATTCATGGGACAGCTGTATATATTAGAATTAAACAGAGGGAAAAAAACCCAGAGTTTTCACAGGCTACGTGGCAGACATTTTTCTTCAGGCCTCAGGAAATTTTTAAAAATGTAATCTGGAATCAAACTCTTGCTTAGAGACTTTCCTTATATAACCAACTTTTCTTTTAAATTTTAACTTATTTTTATTTACTTTAGCATGTATTGACGAAAACTAATTTTTCTTATTGTCTCATATTTCTTATGACAATACTAGAAAGATGTTTGCCTGTGCTTTACTGACTATGCAAAGGCTTTCAATTCTGTGGATCATGACAAGCTATGGACAACATTGCTAAGTATGAGTATTCCGGAACACTTAATTGTGCTTGTGAGGAATCTGTACATGGACCAAGAAGCAGTTGTTTGAAAAGAACATGGGAACACCGAATGGTTAAATATTAGGAAAGGTATGCAACAGGGTTGTATTCTTTCACCATATTTATTCAACCTCTATGCTGAGCAAATAGTCTGAGAAGCTGGGTTATATGAAGAAAAATGTGGCATCAGGATTGGAGGAAGACTCATTAATAACCTGAAATATGCAGATGATACTACCTTTGTTGCTGAAAGTGAAAAGGACTTAAAAACTTACTGATGAAGATCAAAGACCATAGCCTTCTATATGGATTATATCTCAATATCAAGAAAACAAAAATCCTCATCATTGGACCAATAAACAACATTCTTGTCAATGGAGAAAAGATTGAAGTTGCCAAAGACTTCATTCTTCTTGTATCAACCATCAATACTCATGGACATAT